GAATGAGGAGTTCTAACCCCCATCTTTGTTAATTTGATTTCTGACAGCCCTATGTCAAAAAGCGCTGCACGAAACAGCCTTTTTTATTTAAGTGAATTTAAGTTTTGGTTTTATATTCCTGGCTGTCACAGAGCTAGTCAGTGTGGCACCTTGTTGGCTCACACACACTACTGTACTAGAATTATTGTACCCATCAAACTGTATTTATTAAATAATAGTTTATCTTCTCATTCTTTATTAAGTTAAAAAAAATAAAAATGCACATAACTGCTCCTTAGAGGTTTTGATCAGCACGACTTATCTGAAGTAATCACAGGTTGAAATAATTCTAGTTAAAAGGAAATATATGTGATATTTTAGTTAGCTTTATCTTACCGAATTTCTGTTATGACTTTTAAAACATCAAAATATCTTGAAAACTCCCATATACTTACGGAGATTCCCATTGATCCACAAACTGCAATTTGGGGCCTTAATATAATAAATATATTAGGGAATAATCAGCCAAGTAATAATAATAAATATTGCTATTATTATTATTGCTAATATTTATTGGACAACTATTTGCCAGGCCTGGATTTAAGCACTGAATACAGATTATCTCATTTAATCCTCACAATAACATTATGAAGTAGATATTATTATTGTCCTCATTTTACAAATGTGGAAACTGAGCCACAAAGAGGTTAAACTACCCAGGGACGTGCAAGTAGTAACTGGTAGGATTTGAACCCCGGGAGGTTTGAGTGGATGGCGGCAAGAACTACTGTTCTTAACCCAATAGTGGGCAATGAGAGTGCTTTAATAGATGAGTAAGAGAATGAGATTGACATAGTACCAATTGAATTTTAAATTGTTGGAATACAGAAAGACATCAGAGTAGTGTTAGGGCTGCTAAGATGGAGCTGGCAAGAAGGGCACTAAGTTTTACTCTGCAGTTTAGTACCTGAGTTTGTGCGTTTGAGTTGAGGATTCTACAAAGGCTGGAAGATGGGAAACATAGCAGTGAATTCCAACAACCTAACAGGTTTAGGGTGGGGATGCAGAGGATATCACCATTTCAAGACAGGGAGCAAGGGTGGGAGGGGAGGAAAAACGGCTCCCACTAGATAATTGCATACATACAATAAGGTGGAAGAAGAGAAAGTGGGGAGAAACACTCATTTTTGAGTTAATAACTGTTGATGCTCTAGAGTTTCAGGGTCTTTAACCTCTGTGGATTAGAGGTTTCTGTAATTCTATACCACTGAATGCCATAAAACCAAGGATATTGAGATTCCAGGGTTAGGACTCTAGCAATTTTAAGCCAATGAAATGCTGAGGGAATGGGAGACAGAAAACCAAGGATTTGAAAGGTAAAGCTCTGGAGATGTTAAACACTAATCCCTATTGCTCTCCAAGTCAATCGCAATTTTAGCCCCCAGGACAGTGGAAATGGGCTTGGGTGACTGAGGGTAGGGGATGATGAATAAGGTGAAGTCCACCTGAGTAGGAATTTTTGGATCTCCCTCCCTCGCTTTAACTGGAGCAGCTCCTATTTTATTTGTTATATTAATTGAGAGCTTCTGCATATGGTTTCACTGCATAAAGGTGTTCCAAGCTTAGAAGAAAAAGGCAAAAACACTGCCCTAGGGAAAAAAAGACGCGGAACCTCTTAAAATCATTCCAGTAGGTCACCCTTGGACTCTGTCTTTTTTGAAAATAGGGACAGACACCAGCAAAGGATACTTTGGCTGGGGGATTAGGAGGACCCAACTAACAGCTCAGTGCATCAGTCATCCCCTACAACAACACCAACAAATGATAATAACAGTTACCTTACTGAACATCATCTGTGATGTGGGCACAGGGCTAAATGCTTAGGTGCATTGTGCTGAGGGCTTTGAACCGGTTCATACCCGGTTCGATCCCCTGCTGAGGATTTGCATTTCCACGCCAGATATACTGAATCAGAATCTACACTTTAACAAGATCCCCAGGTGCTCTCCTGTAGACTCTGATACGGTATATCTGGCGTGGAAATGCAAATCCTCAGCAGGGCATTAAACTGGACCAAACCAGTTAGAAGCCTTGATTGTGCCATTGGATTCTCTGCAGTCCTATGAGATAGGTACTATTATCATCTCATTTTTCAGATCCTATCACTCTTTTGCATCTGAAGGAGTTGTGCAAGTGGCCTAAATATGTAGAAGTAAACCAAGTAAAGGCATGTTTGAAATCCTATTTTGCAATTCGATTTAAGTAGTTACTCAGGGCTTATTTCAGCTGAAATACACACCAGATGGGGGTGATCTATTCCTTTGAACTCTGGATAATTCTGAGTTCAGAAGACAAATCTCAAAGTGGCCCCTGAAATCAGGAATACTTCATAGCTTATCGCAAGAGGGAAGGGTTTTATGTAGATTTAAGTAGAATAAGAAAAGTTTTCATCACAGTAAGGAAAAATTTTACTGCAATTGTATGTTTGCTTGAAAAGATATTCATTAATTTGTTCATTCAACAATTATTTACTGAGCACCAACTATGTGCTCTGAAACCAGAATCTCAAAATTGAGATACCGGTTTGTTTGATATAAGCCTCCAGCCTAAGGAACTTCTGAAATTACCAAATCCTGGCTGAGATGGTGGTACCTATTAAGTGTGATATTTCAGTGTAGGTCTAATAGATACTTTGAATACCCAAGCAGAGTGAGGAGGACAGTAAGAGTTTGTAGATTCTAGATCATGGAATTAAAGAACCTAGAAATAAGATAGCCTAGTACCTGTATTTTACAGGTAAGAGAGTCAGATGGACTTGAATTATAAGCTGTATTACCTTGGGCAGGTTACATGACCTCTCTAGGCCTCGTTTTCCTCGTCTGTGAGATGGGGATAATAATAACACCTGCCTTATAGAAATATGGTAAAGATTAAATAAATTACATAAAATTCTTGGTGCAGTGTTTGGCACATACAATATGCTCAATATATTTTTATTGTTACCGTGATCACTATATTCCATGTGAGGGGACTAAAACCCAGAGAGGGGAAGTGACTTGTTTAAGGTCACATAACTTGTTGATGTTAGGGCAAATGTTAGAACTCAGATCTCTACTAATAGTCAAATATTCCTCATACTAGGCAAGGTCATGGAAGCTCCATAGACACATCCAAACTCCCTGAGGGACCAAATTGCTGGGAGGAGGGCTGTGGGGACCATGGTCTCGGGGAACATCTAGCTCAACTGACATAACATAGTCTATAAAGAAAATGTTCTACATTCTACTTGGGTGAGTAGCATCTGGGGTCTCAAAAGCCTGTGAGCGGCCATCTAAGATACTCTACTGGTCTCACCCCTTTGGGAGCAAGGGAGAATGAAGAAAACTAAAGATACCAGGAAAGATTAGTCCAAAGGACTAATGGACTACCACTACCATGGCCTCCACCAGACCGAGTCCAGTATAAGTAGATGGTGTCCAGCTACCACCACTGACTGCTCTGACAGGGATCACAATAGAGGGTCCTGGACAGAGCTGGAGAAAAATGTACAACAAAATTCTAACTCACAAAAAAAGACCAGAGTTACTGGACTGACAGAGACTGGAGAAACCCAAGAGTATGGCCCCTCGACAACCTTTTAGCTCAGTAATGAAGTCACTTCAGAGATTCACCTTTTAGCCAAAGATTAGAAAGAACCATAGGATAAAATGAGACTCAAGGGGCACACCAGCCCAGGGACAAGGACTAGAAGGCAGGAGGGGACAGGAAAGCTAGTAATAGGGAACCCAAGGTCGAGAAGGGAGAGTGTTGACATGTCGTGGGGTTGTTAAGCAATCTCATAAAACAATATGTGTACTAACTGTTTAATGAGATGCTAGTCTGTCCTGTAAACCTTCATCTAAAGTACAAATATATATGTATATAAATATATATTCCTTATAGCATGCCATCCATTTTGTTCCATGAGAACAGGTAATATAAAATTCCTAGGCCTGTGAGAAATGTGTTTGGCTCATCCAGAGTTAAGAAGGGAGAAGAATTACAAGGAAGTGACTGAAGTAAGGAAAGAATTCCTGGACTCAGAAAGCAAAACAGCTAGAGACAGAGAACAAGGGAGAAACGACAATTACCAGAAAGTTTTAGATAGCAGTGTTGGGGCATTACAATGCCTAGTGAATCATAGGACTGATCTCTATGCTAATTCCTTTTTTTCACCAAAACATTTCCAAGAAATTGACTGGCTGTTTTCTTTGAGGGGGGGAATGTTCAGAATGCATGTGTGCTTCACAGAAACTTACCGCGAATTCAGCTTTACTAGATAATTTTTATTTGCAAAGCAGGGGAACCCTATGATTGAAATCGGAATGGAAGCATAAGCCTTCCAAGCACGAGACTTCCAAGACTTAAAGAATGAGATTTTAAAAGGATATTGGATTGCAGTGGAACCTCAGAATAGAAGCTGTTGAAAAACGTAGCAAAAAGAAGAAAAATGGCTCAATAGTAAAGCCACATTGATATTGCAGTACAGGTACAGCACCAAGAGTGACCGATTTGTTAGATCAAAATATTTGTAAAAATTAGAAATGCACGAAAAAAGCCACTCTGTCCCTATGCTAAAAATTAAGTTATAGTTAGCAAAATATGCTGTCTTATATCCTAAACCTATATTTTGGTTTAATCAGAAGCCTGCAGTGATGGTTGTTGTAATATCCAAGCAGTATTCAAAATATTCCAGAAGTTTCCCTAAAGTAGCAAGGCGATCTTGCTCAATTTATTACTGCATAGCACCATGGCGTAGACTGGTGCCAAAAAGTCTAACACGTACCCAGCCCCCAAAAGGGGTACATCACGGTTGTTTTAGGTTCAGTTACTATATAATACAATTTTCTTTTTCTACTTTATCCTTTAATCTTGAGTTTGCTAATTTTCCTCTCCTGAAAATAATTATATGTTTTATTTCAAATGAAGGATACCAGTAACACCTTGATTGCTCATTAATTTGATCATTTTCACCTTCACAGGGCATCAGGTACTGTTTATACAGCACTAGACATTGCAACAGGACAAGAGGTAAGTGCTGACATTCAATCCTGAATTTTATTATCCTTTATTCATACGTATCAGGTTTCCTCTTTGATGGCATCTACACCTGAAAAAATTGGTACTCAAGAGAGCTCATCCCTAAACCAGGTAGAACTGGGTTGACATGGGAGTTAACTTCATTAATGTACAAAGCATATGAAGTAGATGGCTTACTTATGATTGACCAGAAGAAAAAGAGCATGGGGTTGTGGCACAGAGAAAGAGCTTAGTAGATAAAGAATGTATATGCCTCGCTCTGTGTCCCCAAAAATATGGATATTTGTCTTGATTTTAGTGATTGTAACTCACTCTTGTATTTCAATCATCATTCAGGTAGCCATAAAGCAGATGAACCTTCAACAGCAGCCCAAAAAGGAATTAATTATTAATGAAATTCTGGTCATGAGGGAAAATAAGAACCCCAATATTGTTAATTATTTAGATAGGTAAGTGTTTTCTCTCATTATGGTCTTGTTTTGTTTTTGATAGCATGTCATTTTCTTGACAAATTGTTTTACTTGGGATTTATTCACGTAAGATTCATTCTTCAAATATTTCTCAAAATGCCACAAAGCAGTTGCATATCAGATCTGTTGGTAAGCTTGCACCCCCTTATCTTTGTCCACCCATAAAACACTTGAAGAAACACATTTTATGGCCTTGATTTCTAAACATGAGCAGTTTGGGTTGTTTCCTTTTCAAGATTGTGACTCCACGTTGGCAGGAAATAGACTACTGCATATGGGCGAGGGCAGTGGTGTTTTAAACATTTCATCAAGTGTTTGTGTGGAGCCAGTACAGTCTCTGGGATCCCAAGTGTAGAAGGCTGACTACAATGGCCCTGCTTTAATGGGTGCTTTGTGATTAACTGACAGTGAGGTCTAGGGAATTGAGACTTTAATCTCAAACCTTTTTCCTAGACCAGATAATTAATGTCTCTTTCATCAGTGGTATTAACAATGAGTTATAAATAGGCCTTTAAAGACAGCACTAACTCTTCACTTGTGGTTAACATCTGTCTCATTCAATTTCAATAAGTGTTTGTTTAGCTCCACTGTGCTGTGTACCGGGGGCGGGGTGGTAGGGGGAGTAGGATTCAAAGGAAATAAGACAAGGTCTTCAAACTCAATGAGCTTTGTGTGCTTTGGGCCAGGTAGACCCATGATACAGAGGGAGGAAAAAAGGAGAGGGGGGGAAGAGGTCCAATTTTATAGTCCAGATCAGAATTTCATAAAGTATAGTTTAGGGACCACCCACAGCAGACTAACCTGAGGTACTTGTAAATAATGCAGATTTCTAGGACCCTCTTCATAACTAGAGGAGATGAGGCCTGTAATTTTCGTTTTTAACAGCCACTCCAGGTGAATCTTATGGGTACTGTAATTTGAGAGTCACTGGATAGAAAGTCTTGCTTCACAATGACGTGGGCCTTAGAGCAGGGTTGAGACCTTTGGGGTTATTCAGTTCATTATAATCTGTCACTCCTACTGAGCAGGGGCCAGCAAGTCCTGATAATACTATTAAAGTGCCTTTAGATGGTCCCAGATGATTTGAATAATCTCATGCTCTGTTTGCCTAAATTGTATAGCTGTGGAGACCTTTGTCCCCAAATCTGATCACTTGGGGCATGTCCCTTAAAAACTACTTAAAGATGATGAGCATGGCACAACTGACTTCTGTCAAAACAAAGACCTCAGCACAGTAAATCTGTTGCAAACATGAGTCTTTTTGATTCAGCAACTCCCTGAAAACATTTTAGTAATTAATTCAGTAGACTCTAAAATAATGCTGAGATTTGAATAAATATCCTATAATTCTGGACACCATGGGCTGGTTCAATCCAAGAAGTGAACATTATGGCTTGAGTTATCCCAATAGGCTATTCTCTGCTCCTGTTCATTGAAACTAGCTTTTACTATGGCATGACTGGCAATAGTCACCAAAGCCCTCTTCACTCTTTTCCATCCTTGTTGGTGCACAGTCATATCTGATGACCCTTTGATTTTCCCATGCATATTCTCTTCTGCCAGTAAGGAGGTGTCTCATTATCACCACCATTAATATTTTCTTGTTATTTAATATGACCAAATGCAGAGACTAACTGCAAATCTCATTCTTAATGGGGATATAAGAGAGTCCTCACTTCCTTAGGCCCGAGACAAAGTCTTTTTCTTTTCTTGCTATAGTTACTTAGTGGGTGATGAACTATGGGTAGTCATGGAATACTTGGCTGGTGGCTCTTTGACTGATGTGGTCACGGAGACCTGTATGGATGAAGGACAGATAGCAGCTGTCTGCAGAGAGGTAAGAAAATAGAGTGTTTCTCGCTGACAAGAACACCAAAATCAGCAGTTCTCAGTCTCTGATTATTCAGAATGTTTGTAACACCAAAGTAACAACAGCACATCTTTTCTAGCGACCCCCCCAAAAAAAAATTTGGAGAGCCTAACCTCATTTTAAATCCTAACTTTAATAGCACTCCCCTGCACTCCTCTCCCTAGCCCCTTCTTTGTTTTAGTTGCTTTTCTATGGATCTGTCCAAGTTCTATTATGCCATTTATGAAGTACCGTGTCTAATCCCTCATGCTGTAATCTCAGTGAGCATAGAATAACAGTGATGTTGGCATGGGGCTTCTTTCTGATTTAGGGGAATTTTTACATGATTGATATTTTGTCCTGCTTGTGATCCATGTAAATATACAGACCACCTTATAATCTCATCACTTTCTTTCTGAAGGTAATTTATGCAAGGTCTTCCTTGAGCCCAGAAAGCCGTTGCTTTCATATGTAAATCTAGACATCCTTCTTAGCCCTTCAGTGGATCTGAGGGCCTGTCTCTTTTCCAATAACAATGTGATACCCTTAGTCTCAAGCTAAATTAAGGATTTTTTTTTCAATATTAAAAAAGTAACACGCTTCTCACTGGAGTCTCATCTTGGGCATTACCATGTACCCTATTCATTGTGATGAGGTTTTCTGTAGAGTCAAGTAGGAACTCTGACCCACTGAAACTTTTAAACCAAGGATAGGGAAAAAAATTTTCATCTAACCTTTACTTGTTCTTTGCTTTAAATTGTTCCCTTAAATTCCTTCATTCCTTGCTCCCCTCATTTCAATTCCCCCTCCCCGAACATGCACACATAGCCGTCAAACACATATTTTCTCTTCCTGCAATAAATCAAACTTATAGTCCTTCAGGAGAATAGACTACCCTGAGCCTGTTGTTTCTGTCTTCTAGTATTACAGTACAGAGCCATTTCCAAACAAGTGTCTATAGTTACTTCATAGTCTCAGAGTGGTTCCCAAGTCTAGCTGTCCATCAGAAACTCTAGGATACTTGTTTTAAATGCAGATTCTTGGGCCTCACTCCAGACCTACTGAGTCTAATCATATCGTGTAAGCAGAAGCTTACTACATCTGTAGGCCAAGCTGAATCCTTATCCTCCAGATAACTAGGTCAAAGTATGATCATATTAATTGGTTAGTTTGGCTGTATTAATGATTATTTATCATGCCGTCACTTCTCATGTCCCAGTCTTCATAGGACACTTGGGAGCCTTCATTTGTATAATGCTAAGTAGCATCACTGATTTAAGTGGTAATGTGATTTCAAAGGGGTGTTAAAATATTTAGTAATCTATTTCACTTGATAACATAAAATTATACCCTTGATCAAAATTTATCTAGAAATGAAACATATAATTTTTTTTAATTCTTTGTGATATAATAGAACTTTTTTTCTGATTCAATAGTGTCTCCAAGCATTGGATTTCTTACACTCAAACCAAGTGATCCATAGAGACATAAAGAGTGACAATATTCTCCTCGGGATGGATGGCTCTGTTAAATTGAGTAGGTATTTTGGTTCAGATGATGTTTGAGAGAATATCAGGGAACTTCTGCTCTTTTACTGTCTATCTTGAGAAGATAATGGCTATAGAAAGTGATTGATTTGAAAGCAGTTATAGCCCTGTTTGAAGTAAAGAATTTTTCTGACACTGTGTTCCTGTAGATCATGACCAGAGTTTTTGGATTCAATATTTCAGAATTTCTAGTGACTTCCCTTGGCTCAATGGCAAATATCTAGTTAGAAAACTGACATATTCTGTAAGATTGAGGGAACAGTGAGGTCTGGAACAGTGATGCCACATCATCCCGTTATTGCAGACCCTTTTAAAACCAGGACCAGCTGACAGATTAGGTAACAAAAGGATGGAGCTAGGCAGTTATGAAAGCTCAGTATGTAACAAACGAAGGTACAGCCATATCTGAACATGACCTATTACAAAAGGAAAACAATTCGAGCTGATTTTAACTGTCTTTTCTTCTCTGCAGCTGATTTTGGGTTCTGTGCCCAGATCACCCCTGAGCAAAGTAAACGAAGCACTATGGTGGGAACCCCCTACTGGATGGCACCTGAGGTGGTAACTCGAAAAGCTTATGGTCCAAAGGTTGATATCTGGTCTCTGGGGATTATGGCAATCGAAATGGTGGAAGGTGAACCCCCTTACCTTAATGAAAATCCACTCAGGGTAAGTCAGAAAATAATTCTGGTACCCTACCCCAGAAAAGGGGAAAGGCTAAACGTCATTCTGTACCTCCACCAAAAGTGCCTGGGATGGGCTCTTTCCTGGAACAGATGACATAGAAGCCCAAAGTTATAATTTTCAAAGTTACTGTGAGCTATTTTCAGTGTATCTTAAGATATCACAACACTTTTCAAAAGTGCTTTGTTATCAGCATTTCTAATGACAGGGATCTTTAAAATTCTTTAGTTTTACATTCTGATGTAAAAAATGTGTGGCTTTTTTTTTTTTAAAGCAAGATGTGGGATGAAAGCATTTTTTAATCCTATGCCATGGTTAAATGATCTGTCTAGGAAATACTTTATAATTACTTTTTAAATGTAAATAAATGCATTTCCAGAGCTATAATTTTCAAAATTTGATTTTGTTTCATTATCTGTAATGATTTATTGAGCAGCAACAGCTTGCTGAGTATTGAATGGAACACAGAGATAAACACAGCGCCAGTCTGGTGAGATCACAAATTTAATTAGACTGTCAAGTAGGAAATACATGGAAATAGTTTGGGTTGGGTGGGGTCAGTTTGCTACTGGAGAGTTGGAGGTTTGATCTTCATGTGGTCCGGTCACCTCCACAAAGAGAAAAGCTCCATTTTGTAGCCTAACCCCACCATCTTTTATTCAGAAATACACTTGTTGATCATGAGGGGGAGAAGGCACAAGAGTAGGAATGAAATGGCTTGCTCAAGTGCAGAAGTAAGCCAGCAGCTGTTTTGTTGTATATACCCTAAGGGTTGGCCAGAAGGTGTGTAGTTGTATTATATAAAGGGCATCGCATTGATGAAAGAGTACATGCAGACTCAAATTCTCCTCTCAGAAACCCATGCACAGTGCCAGTACCAAAAGCATCTTGTATATCGTTTGTGTTGCCGCTACTAAGTCTAAAAATGAATTTTACCCTTGGTGTACAGAAACCATTGTCCTGAGTAAGTGGTTAAACGTTTTCAGGTTAAGCTTGTAAAATCCATATTCAAGTCAACTACACATGACTTTCTATACGTGTACAGAAGCCTACAAAAGGATTGCCTGGTTGTTTTTGCAACTGAATATTTTGCAATGGGGAGCTGCAGTCCCTATGTACGGAATGAGGAAGAGCCTCCTCCTTACCCATCCTAATTCCTCTCTGATACTTGGCCTCTTGTCCTAGTCCCTGCGGTGCTTGGAAAACAACAGATAGGAGTGAAAGCCCCACTGAATGCCATCAGCTGTTGCTCTGGTCTCATGAGACAATCTGGAGGTGCGATGCGCTCACTGATTAGCTGCCTACAGGGCTGAGTGGAAAAGCAGGGGCATTTTCCCACCGCTTGTGGGTCAGCCCTTCATGAATTTAATCAAGCCCACCCCTGACCTATCGACCAGCGCATCAAGATAATTAACATGGGTTTTCCTTATTGTTCGACCACCTTTGCCCATTAAGAAATAGCAGTGAAAGAACACATCGGGCCTCTTGTTTCCATGGTTTTCCTCCTCTAAATCTTTGGAGTTTGGAAGCGCTAAATGGATTATGGCTGTTTTGCTTTTTGCCTTCTAATGAGTAATTTACAACCTGCAGCATTTAAGGATTAAATAAATTGCTCTGCAAAGCAACTCGTTTCAGTAATGCATTTATTACCTTCTTCAGTTCCCGAATTACAATTGATCGCTCTTTAGCTAGGCTGCTAATTGTTAGCAAAAAAAAAAAAAAAAGAAACAAGTTTTAATCTTCATAGGCATCTTCTAGTCTGGGATTAGAACTCTGAATTAACAGCTTGTCTCTTCGAATCCACAGTCTTGTATCTAAACACATACTTGCAGATTAACAAACCCTCAGGTTCGGGAAGCCTTCATTAAGGCTATAACAAAAAAAATTCTGTCAGAAAGACCACCCTGTGGAATTCCACTGGTAAGGATGTACTCTAACCTTGCTCAATTACTCTTCGTGTGTGATCAACCTCTAATTAATCAGTCAACAAGTCCAAACTGAGTCAGCCCTATTCTCTGCTAGGTGCCACAAGTACTTTTTTACTTTTGATTTCAAATATGCCATCCTCATTTTCTCTTAAAGAGAAAGCACAATCTCTCAGACTATATTCCCTTATATGGGATTTGAAAAATGTAATTACTGAAACCCTGGGGAGATTGAAGAGAAAAAGATAATGAAAAGAGCCTGTAGGAAGCCTGCGTTTTTTTTTGGAACCTGGTGACCAGGCCAGAGCTTTATTCAGGGGGGCAATGAAGGAGGACTAGGTTAGTCCTTCTTTCTTTAAAATTCTTCCAATATTACCACCCACCTACGACTTGAGGCTTTGAGGGAGGAAGAAGGAAATAAGTAGAAGGAAGACAGAGTGGTAGATGGTGGCATGCTGATGTGAAAAGAATTTGATCCATGTAGTCAGGCAGATCTGGATGTGTCCTGGCTCCGCAACCTGCAAGCTCTGTGACCTTTGGAAAGTCACTTAAAAGCTTCCTAAGCCTATTTTCTATCTGTAAAATGAGGATGGTATGTATTTTTCAGTTAGTGTGAAAATTAAGTGAAATAATGTATGTAAATCACCTAACACGTTGTTGAGGGTATTATAGGAGATGATAGATCAAAAAAACCAAACTCCTTGCCATCGAGTTGATTCCAACTCATAGTGACCCTATAGGACAGAGTAGAACTTCCCCATAGGGTTTCCAGGGAGTGCCTGGTGGATTAGAACTGCTTACCTTTTGGTTAGCAGCCACACTCTTAACCGCTGAACTCTATATATCAGTATAGAAGGAAAATGGGAAAGGATGCTTAGAGTGCTTTTTACCCATTCATGAAGGGAGATTGGATTCCCCATTCTCTCAAGAATTTTCCCTCCCCACTCGCTGCACCTCCATCCCCTCAAGGAGTAGAGGGCTCTGCACAGTTCATTCAGTACAGTTACCATAAGCAGGTAACACGGAACAGAAGATAAGGGTGTAGTCTGGGGCTATACATTTGAAGGTCGTTTACACTTTGTCTTAGTTATTAAGCCATTACTCAGTCCTGCGAGGTGTTTGGTTATGTCTAGGATGTTTCCATGACTGTGCCCCCTGTGTGCAATATTATACATATGCAGCACATACAAATATGTATGTAGAAATATCCACAGCCAAACCTATATATGCACATGGATGTACTCCCATACACCCTTCCACACCTATTCAGCATACGTATCTACCTATGTCTCCATTTGTAAATTATTGTTTGTCATTACTGTTGTTGCAGGATTGTTTATGTTATAGTATTTGCCATCTTTGCTTTTTATTCTTGTGTACCTCTCAGTGTCTTCCCTTGCCTTGGTTATATTGTGCTGACTTCCCCCGTGTTGTGTACTGCCTTTCCCTTCACCAAAGTTAACACATGTCTACTCTCTAGTTAGTGATTTTCCCTACCATCCCCTCCCATCCCTGGTGACCATCAAAGAATATATCTTTCTGTGTGTAAACCTTTTCTTGACTATTTATAATAGTGGTCTCATACAATGTTTGTCCTTTTTTGACTGACTTATTTCACTCGGCATAATGTCCTCCAGATTCATCCATGTTGTGAGGTGTTTCACAGATTCACCATTATTCTTTATCATTGCATAATATTCCATTGTGTGTACGTACCACTATTTATCCATTTATCTGTTGATGGGCACTTAGGCTAATTCCATCTTTTTGCTATTGTGAGTAATGCTGCAAGGAACATGAGTGTGCATATGTCTATTCTTGTCACAGCTCTTATTGCTCTAGGATATATACATAGGAGTGGGATTGCTGGATCATGTAGTATTTCTGTTTCTAGCTTTTTACGGAAGCGCCGTACTATTTTCCATAGTGGTTGTACCATTTTACATTCCCACCAGCAGTGTATAACTGATTTCTGTATGTCGATCTTATACCCTGCTGCTTTGCTGAATTCTTAGTTCCAGTAGCTTGGACAGGATTTTTTAAAATGTAAAATTGCTCTTTACTAATTGACCTAATTTGCTCCTAAAATGCCTTTTAAAGGTCAGAGAGTTATTAACTGTACTGATACTATGAGGTTGGTACCATTCCAGAGACAGAGAGGACACAAGCATCTTACTGTCCCCCAGTGCCTGAAATCTCTACACTCAACGTAATTGGCCTTGGATATATTGTTCTGTGACCCAAGGACATTTTCAGTGCAGCCTTCAATAATAAAGTGTCTTATTCCTTCTCTTTGCCAACGTGACTGGGATTAAAATCGAATTTTCCCTATGGATATGGAAATCCAATATTGGTGTTCTGCTGATCTGCCCAACTTTTTTGTTAATTGAAAGATAAATATTTTAAACCTGTGATTATAATGACCTGATTCTAAATATGGTGGCAGAATCAATTTTTGTAAAAGAAATATTTGATTTGTTTTGTTTCTCAGCACTGAGAGACTGCCTCTTTATTACCTTTGCATTCACATATAACACTACTGTTCTTGTCAAATGGTTTTGATGAAATTGGTGTTTGTAAATTCTCAGTGACATCCAGTCGAAGTCCCCACTGGACCCTCTGGAGCCCTTTTTTAAGTGTAATTTTCCAAACCTTTTTCCTAGTTGAAGGAATGTTGAGTGTTGTCTTTCTCCCCTTGCTCTAAGCATCTGTGAAAGTGTATCAAACATTGGATCATTGAAAGGCAGTGATAGGTATAAATAAGAGACATCTGGTTGTTAAAAACTGTATATGGTATAGTATGTGAACCACACATCCTAGGCCAGTGGTTTCTCGTCCTTGGTTGCACATTGGAATCACCTGGGGGAACTTTAAGGACTCCTGGTGATAGGTTCCCACCCCCAGGTAAAAATGGTAAGCCAAGACTAGGCCAAATACCAAGCTCTGTGGCAAGTCCTTTACAGAATACAGTCCAGACTTAAAAATAAAAACCCTTCATCAGCTCTCTTTGAGCATGGTTGTTCAATCAGAAAAGAACTCACTATTATTCTGCCCATATTT